TCGAGCAAGTTGCAAGTAAGATAATTGTTTGCTTAATTCTTCAAAATATTGATAGAAGTCATTGGGTAGGTCGTCAAGTAGCTGGCAAAAAACAACATAATTGTTAAATTTGTCAGTTACAGGAAACGCACCGTAATGTTCCGCTCGGAATGACTGCTCAAGCATACTGGGATAACGAATCGAGAGGACCTGACGAAATCGCGCCTGGATTTGCATATCAATTTCGATATATTATTGCATATCAACTTTGAACTTGTAAGGAGTCCCGCTTCTCACCTATTGTGAAGAGCTACTGAGGAACTTTATTTGCAATAAGAAGAAATTCGATACTTAGACGCTATTCCACGAAATGCGCTTGTGTAGCACTTACGGGAAGGGAGAAACAGTTACCACAGGCAACGGATACTGTAATTGATTGTCTACTTATTGTCAGCAGATAAAAGTATGTCATCAGATACTGAATTACTATATTGTAGGAAGTCTTACACCAAACATTTAGACTGTTGAATACTATTATGACAGTAACAGTGTACGAAACAAACAAGTGATTTTTGTAATGATATGCACTACACATTAAAACAGTTACATATCCATCCGTTCTATAAGACGCATCCTATTTTTTACAAGAAACTGAAGTAAAAGAGTGCGTCTTATACACCAGCAAATACGTAATATTGCTAACTTTTTAATGTTAACAAACTTAAATAAATCTCGTCTTTTGAAGGGCCCCAATTTGACGAGAGCCCTAAGCAATAGCTTAGTCTGTTTATGCGGTAATCCGGCACTAGACAAACTATACACTTGTCTAACATCTTTATTAATCGCATCTTGTAGGATCCCTCCGTTATCTTTCTTTATATTAATTTGTGTACAATTATATACGTTCTTTAGAACTTCTAAATCATTTAGCAATTATTTTCGCGTGTATCTTACAAAGAAAATTCAGGAGGCTTATTCACCTGTAGTTATTACATACTGTTCATGAGCCTCCCTTGAAATACCACGCGCTGCTTTCGAATATGTGCTTAGATTGTCTCTAACACGAATAGTTTCTGATACAGGACGGTTTTCATATTGTGACTGTGTGAATCGTCAATGGCAAAGCCGTTCCTTCAAGATCTGCTGTTGCTGGGGATAAAATGGGCTTTTGATTTGAGTAGCGTATCTCGAAACAAATAAGATAGCATGTATAAATGTCTCCATTCGTTGGAGAGTCACGTGTTAATAGACCTTTCTGTTGCATACTTGAATTTTGTATACATTGTGATATGCTATTTGTTTGTATCGTAAAATCATATGATTTCATTCGGGGAAACTATATACAAGGATTCTTCACGTGTTTTTTGGGCTCCAAACTGGTTGATGTATTAAATGCTGTATGTTGAAATGTAAACATACGTATTACTGGAATATCCGCCGTCTACGGAAGACGTCTAAGAATCTGGTAGCAGAGCGAATGTACATTTACATTCAAGGAAATTGTAAGAATTATGACTGATGTGATGGCTTCATCTTTTGCAAGAATTTAATTGCTGACAGATCGTAACTACGATCTATGGAAAATATAAGTCAGTGCTTTAATTAAGTCTAGATATCTGTTCGAGGAAGTAATAGTACGAGGCGAACCGCGAAAGAGTGAAAGAGATAAAGTACTAAAAATTGGGAAAATTGGTAGAACAATGATGAAGTTATGGGCATTCTAATTTTGACCCTATCGAATGAACAAATTTTGGCTACTAAAGGAGTAAATAATGAAAACGAACTGTGGGATTTATTAAAACGTCGACATGTAGGAATTAATAAAAAATATTGGTTAATTTAAATATGAAATTAGCAAAATTAGAACAAATGAACAAAGAATCGATCAATTTTAACAGGATCTAGGGGTGTAACATGCGAATTGCATGTTACCAAGAAATTACAACGAGATAGCAACGGCACTATTAGCAAATCAACATCTTACGTTTGAACACGTGCGCGAGAATCTTCTACGTTGCAAAAACGGCAAAAGTTGTTTAATACCGAAAAGGAAAAGAACGCGTATAAAGCAAGAGAAACTAAAAAGTTGACATGTTACATCTGCGGCATCTATAGCACGAAACGTCTGGCATATAAAGGGAAATACTGATAATGTTGCTAACAGCAAGAATGAATCGAAAAACAAACTTAATAAGATAGATAAAAAATATTACGGATATCGATATGTGTAATCACTTGAAATCTCGAAAATTTAATCCTAAAATTATTAAGAAAAAGAACAGGTATTAGTGATCATAGAAACAGGAAGGAAAGAAAGTGTGGTACCTTGATGCGGATGGCACGATGGACACGACGTCAAAAAATTCATTTGTTGACAGATCCCAGACGTGCGAAGATAGAAAATGAGACCGCGGAAACTGGGAGAAAAATATACTCAGATTGTGTTAGAAAAGTTATGGGATATTGTAGTAATGATTTGGGGAATATGTCTGAAATCATGGAAAGGGTTTCACAGGTATGGTAAAAAGAAACAAGAAAATCGTACTTATATAAGCTTGTGAGAATATATGATACAATGATCTCGTAGCGAATGGAAGGTTTGACGAGAAAAAAAATATTTTTGAGATGGCTGTAGCAGATGTAAATAATTTTCATGATAATGTAGAAAATAGTGAAATCGAAATCTGTAGATGTATTATGTTTCAAATGTGAAAATGTCGAAAATATGTGGCATAAGCGGTTTTGTCATCTAAATCACAGTTATCTTGAAGAATTACGGAAGAAACAGATGGTTAGGGGCTTGAATAACTTCGAGGTCGAAAACTATGATTGTGAAGCATGTATACTTGGAAAATGTACTTGAACTTCAAACAAGTGCATTCATGGATAGTAGACTATATTTTACTGAGTTATTGAAACTAAAATCGAACTGTGCAGAAAAGATTAAAGAATTTGTGACAAGGAGGAAAACACAAGTCTCAGAGTGAAAAATTTGAAAACTGATAACGGGGGCGAATTCATAAGATCGGAATTAATTACTACAAAAATAAAGGTATAAAGTACGAAAGAACTACACCATACAACCTTCAAAGCAACGGGATTGCAGACAGAGCAAATAGTACCATTTTAGATATGACCAGGACGATATTGATCGATTCAGAGCTGCCAGTACAATTTTTGGGAAGAAGCTGCATAAACAGCAGTGTACGATCGTAATATTACATCAACTTCACATGACCCAGAGAAAGTTTCACTTGGAAAATTTGGCAGGGTGAAAACCAAACACGCAACATTTGCGAACATTTGGTGCAAAGATATATTATGGGACCGTTGATCCTGGAAAAAATAATCTCAATCCAAGAAGTAGACACGGCATCTTCATGGGATACGCAAAAAACAGAAGTGTCTAGAATTTTTAACCCAGAAGAAAATTGTATTATTGAAACGAGAGATGTTCATTTCTTAGAACACACTATGTGTAGTAAGGACGCACGAGAAATAAATAAAGATAAATTGCGGGAATTCGATTATGATCGTATAACAAATTTCCAAGTAAATGAAGATGTGGTTGTTTCCAACAGCGAAGCTTTTGTACATGTAGAAATTGGAAGGACATCTAAAAACTGTCTGAAATGAAACAGACGAAAGAGAACAAATACGACAATGACTGAAAGTCATTGGTAAGAAGGATTTTCAAATTTTTGCTGCTTTTTATGTTTGTGGACAGTCGATCTACATCAGAACATTGCAGCAAACAAGTCGACCGAAGAGTTTCTTATGAACGTGGGAAACAGTGTTTTCAATGGCCCTCTCGTTCATCCCACCATATTTGTCCCTCCTCTTCATACAGCAAAAATTAAAGAAGGAATCTTTGAGAGCCCCAAATCCGAGATATTTTAAAAGATGCTATCCCGCAAATGATGTCTCCAGAAGAACAAGAAACCTGGACAAGTTTTCGGTGGGATTGTGAAAATTTTCTAGTGAAAAACAAATCTGCAGATTTTGTTAATGGAATCAAGAGACATTCGTGTACATTTCAAAAACTGGGCTGTAGAATGTCACTTAACCTATTCTTTCTACATTCCCATTTAGATTTCTTCCCTGATAACCTCGGTGACGTGAGTGGTGAAAAAGACGAGTGGTTCCACTAAGACACCAGAACAATGGAGCAGCGCAACCAAGGTTTCAAGAATGACTCCATGATGGCAGATTATTACTGGATGCTAAAAAAGGAGATGTCAAGAGACGTGAGGATTTTCTGGGTAAAATTTACTAACACAATTTTTAAGGAAATAAATATGGTTGATTTTTAGTCTAATAACTGGATTCGCCATTGTAAAATAATGGTGTGTGATGGTGAAAATCTCAATTCAAAATGGCAATCTGGGTTAAAAACTGCCTCAGAAAAAATTTTTCTATTTCATAAACATTCTTTATAACAAGTTTCATTTCGTAAAGCTATGTAATGGTAATATACTGAGGTTTCGCCGGGACGTTTCTTGCAAGGGAAATTCGTGCGATGTGGTCTAGGCCCCTCCACCGGCCTGCGCCCCGCGGATCGGAGGCAGCGGAGTTGCCAGGAGACGCGCCAAGAACTTCCGAGTACCCGCTTTTCGTACGACGACCAATTTTTTTTCATTATTTTCTGCTGTTAATTATTCATCGAATATTTACACATGTGGCATATTTACACATTGAAGAATTTCCCTCATCAAGATCTACCTATTCGGGTAAAAAGTAGTATTCTATTTGAAGACGAAGTTAGTCCAATATCTTTAAAATAAAGAATGCTATCAAAAAGCCAGTAAGTACAACTGAGTAGCCTCTATATTCTGAATCGTTAGGTGAAAATTTCATCTCAATACCTTGAAAACAGTAAAGAGAAAGTGCATTGATTTTGTTGAAGAGAAAAAAGGAATGATGTATATACATCATTTAAGAGTGGCGTTGCTGGATACTTTTGTGACGCTTATGTCTGATTTTAAACAAAACGCAATTAAGAAAAAAAGCAAAATTAATACCTGCTGGATTTTTCACATATGTTGATTTGCTGAGTGCGAAGAACTAATCCAGATCCAATTGGCAAAGAACGTCCTTCCACTGAAGGAGACTTTTCAGTAGACAATCCTGTCAAGTCCACAGGATTATGTAGGTTCACAGACTGCTGGGCGTGAGTCAGATTCATCCCGAAATCTCCAGAAGTCCCAGGAGTAAAAGCAGCACCTCGTAATAGATTAGCTGCAGCTTCTTGCGCTGCCGACGGGACTTGATTTCCACCTGAAAACACATATTTATAAGAAGGACATGGTTTTACGAAAATATTGCAATTGGGGAATTATTGTCATTATTCCTCCCAAGGCATTGGAACTATTAAGATCACCCAATATGTTCACAATATGACCTGCGATATCAATCATGAACTGATAGAAAACTTCATTATTTCGTTTTGATTCTTTATTTAACAGAACATAAGACGTTTCAAGAAATGAAGTTTCAAAAATACGAAGAAGCGAATCCAATAGCACACAGGATATCAATAAGCTTTGATACAAATTTCTTGTATACTTGTGTAACTTGCTCTCCCCATCCATTTGACGGTTATCATCTGCATCCATGACACTGCTCAACAAAAAAAAAAAAATCACTTGCCCAGGATTTTGCCACGAATTTACAGTAAATCGGGTATGCTGATTCCAAATATGTCCTGAGTTTCATCGAATTTGCCCTAGTTATTGTGCAATGAACGTTATAATGTATTATGCTATCACAAAACTCACAGAATTTAACGTAAAAAATCTTTATATAAACACTATTAGTTTTATTTTAAACACTATATATTGCATTATAATAATCGCATTATTTTCAGGATACTTTGATTGAGCTTCGTCGTATTAATACCTCTTCCTTTGTTACGAAACAATGAGTTCTTCAGATGTGTGAACGATCTTATTTTTTGCTATATTTGTGGAGAATATACTCATCAAAAACAGATAAGAAATATTACAAACTTTATAGAAAAAACATATTACGCATATTTTGGTATGAAGTTGGGTGATCAAGATACGTCTTGGGCTCCACATACGGTAAGCAAAATTTTTGTGGGGGTCTCCGCCAGTGCCAAACAGGAAAACTGAAGTGTTTAAAATTTGGTGTACCGATGGTATAGTGAGATCCCCAAAATCATCATGACGATTGTTTTTTATTCTGTAAAGTCATAGGATTCAATCGTTACACGAAAAAAACTGAGTGTACCCTGATTTGTCATCGCCGAGCACCTCCCGTAAGGAGTTGCCCAGACCATGACTTCGTCGACTGCCATCGAATTCCGTACAATGAAGCAGGACGTGTTCCACAATAAGAACCTTTCTCTACGAATCACAGATGTGGAAGATTTACCTCGAAGGAGGAAAACAATAGAAAAGTGGCCGTGTCTGATTTGAAAATCACTTTCTCACGCCTAGACAGGCAGGATGAGGAATCCCAGGGATTAACAGAATCCTTTATCACACTCAATTTAAAAGTGGTATTGTGCCAATGTTTACCACGCTCTAAAGATGTTTTGTTTCAAAAAAAGCCTTAATGTCGGAAGATGGTACAGAAGAAATATAAATATGAGTCTTCTGCGTCGCTGATTTTGCCGCATGATCAGCCAGTGCATTCCCTGATTCTCACATGGCCCGAGACCCAACTGAGTACTATATCAATGTTGCGAGATAAAAGACATGAATCAGGTTTTGAACTGATTTTGTCAGGTAGTCTTAGGAAGAACGGGATACAGCCTTAAGAGAGCTTAGAGAATCAGAACAGCGAACTAAAAGCTACATGCCACAGCGCCATTGTACGATGAATCATATGTGAACAAGAATATATGGTCCGCATAGGCTTGCTTCATTTTCTGGAAATGCATCTGGTAAGCAAGAAGACTAGTAGTTTGCTTGGGAAGATCGGAGAGACTGAGGTCGATATTGGAGCCAAGGAGTTTCCAATGGGGAATGAAGTTTCTAGTAGGGTTCCACAGGGGTGGGAAGACATTAAGGTCTCCCAAAAGATTTCGCAATCGAATACCCAGGGGCTGAAGTAACGATGTTCGAAGAATAGATAAGGTCTCATATTTTGGATGGATAATTATTTGGCGACAGAGATGATTAAAGAGCCCTGACACTTTAGCACTACAAGACGTCAATAGAATATCCCGCCTTCTTTTTAAAGATGGCTCCCCAGCCTCTGCTAGAAGGCAGTTGATTCGGCTGGTGCGATACGCACCTTTGGAAAGCCAGATACCAGCGTTGTGTATGCTGTTGATTGGACGGAGAATGTAGGGAGCTTCAGTTCCGTAATCTTCACTTCCGAAATCCAAAAGTGAGCGAATGAGCGCTCTATATAACCGCAATAAGGTTATGCTCCCCATGACGTACCATGCAGCATACGAAGAAGATTAAGGAGGAGACAGGTCTAGTTTTTAGTCTACGGATATGAGCACACCACGAGGGGGATTTGTCAAACGTTAGCCACAGGAACCTGGCAGATTCTGCGAATGGAAGTTGTTGTCCTCATAAGTAAAGAACTTGATTACTATGCAAGTGATATGTCCTGTAGAAATGCACACCAGTAGATTTAGTAGGAGAGAAGTTAAAACCTGTTGACTTGATCCATTCGTTGAGCTTGTTGATCACTAGTTGAAGTTGCCTCTGGACACTGCTGCTGCTGGATGAACAGAAGACGGCAAAATAATCCACAAACAGCGACGTCTTTACTGGTTCTTGTACGCTCGACGCTATACCATTTATGGCGATGGCAAACAGAATGACGTCAGTCAAGATGATGTAGTTCTATTGAGTGGGTCGCGCCAACCCAAGAGCAAGTTATCAATGTACATGATAGTGGGATACTGGCGCTTCCAAACAGGTAGCTTGGAATAGACCATTGCAGAACGGTTGCAAGTGATGGGCTACAGCCAAATCAATGCACGTGCTAGAGCGTGTGGCTACGGCGAAATGGGTTGGTTCGCCTGAGTTTAGAATAACCAAGTTCGAGGTGTCTATAGCTGATTCCTATACGTCACCTCTCGAACAAGAGCGGGTCGTGCCCCAAAGAGGACTGAGGCCATTGTCATCACCGACTATTAAGAACGGTGAGGGTAGTTGGTTTATCAAATCTAAGAGTTTGTCGGCGGATGCACTTGGTCCAGGAGCGATAGTATAGACAGTAAGAGCTAGGGATGGAAGACACGCCTGCACACACTGAAGCTGGGTCCGAATTGAGACATCTGTAGAGAGCAGCGAGTCGTGAATCAGAGTAGCAACTCCTCCTTATGCGCGGAGTCCGTCATCAGCATGAACCCTGTATACGGTAAAGCCGCGAAAATGGGTGGAACAAGATGCGTCCCCAGTAAACAGAATATTAAAGACGGATCAACAACAGTTTCTTATCATCCCATCGCGAGGAGAAACCAATCATATTTCATGATAGGAGAGCCATGAGAGTATTAAGTTATTTCTTTTTTATTCTTTCGGCGTTGTGCCCTGAATGGGCGAGTTTCCTCTTAGGTAGAATCCTCCTGGGAACTGCCAGAAGTAGATACGTGCTCAAATCGATTATTCGCAGGTATAGATTGTCGGAATTCGATGACAAGCACTAATAGTCGGATCAAAGGTGGCTACCTGACTGGCATCGACTTCCATCGAGAGATTTTTATGTAGAAGATTTTATAGACTGAGACGATGGAGCTCTTTGAGCAGATTTCTTATATTTGGTAGGTATGATCACTCTCTCGCCTTGCAGGGGTGCGGAATCCCCAGGGAGGTCTACTGGGAACATTTGCTCACTACTTGGGGAGGGGACCTTGCGCCGTTTGGCAGTTCCTACTACCTTCGGGGCCCTCACTTTCACTGCGCTAGAAAAGGACCGAGAAAGATCAACAGGATTCCTTGCCTGATACATACTCAGGGAAAGACACTTTCTCAACGACTCTATCTCTCTTTTCCTCATAACGATAGGGCTTTACTTGGAGTTGGACAGATGGTAACCTTCGCAATTTACACAATGCAGTGGTGTAGTGCAGGGTTCAGCTTCATACATCGATTTTCTGCACTTTCCGCACACCGGGCTTTCTGCCATTAACCGCTGTTGTATAAGACTGAAATTTTGGCACTTCAAAGACCGCAAACGGATAGGCGCGTATTGCTGTACGTGGGGTAATAAAAACCGCAGGACAACCTTTCAGAGAGCGATGGTAGACCGAATGTCAGAATGAGAGTGGATGTGGGGATTTCTCACCCTTGCTCCCTACTCTTCATCCGTCCGACACACCCGACACGTCCGACACACCAGGGCTCTTAAAAACGCGACTAATTCTTCCTCACTCTCAGCAGCAAAGTCCTCATGATTGACCACTCTCTTGCAGATGTTAAGAGTTGGGTGTGTGATCATTTCCACCTGGAGATCGGCAACCTGCTTAGTTTTCCTAATCTTTTCAACTTGTTCATCCGTGCCTACTTCGAAAAGAATGGTATCAATCCTTTGTGGCACTAAGGCTTGAAGTTTCCTATTCGTTTCCAAAATCCCCTTTCACTTTCAATGACATTAAATGTTTTCTTAATTAATATGGTATTATCATAGCTGCAGGAACTTTGGAAATCGTACGCGCTGAGTGCTAAGCATCACGTCTCGTCATCGCGCGCTGCGCCGTTTTCTCCCCGTCGTGGAAAGAGACACCGCAGCCCACTGTCGCTGAGCGCAGTCGCAACTTGCCAGTCCTCGCGCGGTAATCCACGGATCCTCCACTTCTTGGACGGCAGAGAAGGCAAGCGGCTGACTTGCGGGCTGCCGGCCGGCTGACTGGCTGTCCTCGTATAAACCATGCGTTAGGATGGACCATCCAAAAGTGTACGTTCAGAATACGCCTTTATTTACCAAGTTAGTAGACGTTTGCTACTCATAAAATATAAGTTCTCTACAGTATTGGCAACAAACAGTTCACATTGCTTCGGAGGGAAATTTCAATAACATACCTAAATGTTAATATGTCAGATCCAAGAAAAGCAGGTTTGTTTGCTAAATCGGCTTCTTCAGGGCCACCTACCGCAAGGAAGACTATCAGCCACATAATAGAAAGAACTGACAGAGAAAACAGGGAAAATGAGCTCTGTGCAAAAAGAATGCGCGTAAGCAATGCTCACAATGTGACTTCGGAACGCGTGAGCGTTGTTTCGAGCAATGACAGGCATGCAAATACGCAAACCATTGCTTAGAAATTATAATAAATAGTTTCCATATTTGAATATAATATATGAATTAAGTCGCATTTTTATATATATCGTTATTCTCAAATGTGGATACAAATTATATGTTTTATACAAAATTAATACTAACACTTTTTAAAAGATTCTTCACATATACAACAGAAGACAAAATTTAACTAGTAAAGCAATTTTGGATTAAAAATGTCATTTAATTAGTTACAATAATCTTTTTCAGGACTTGTTTTTAGTTCAAAGCTTTTATTGAACCTGGGGAGAAACTAATTTCAATATCTAAAACTGTTAACACTTGAAAGTTGACCAGACACTACACTACGTATGTGTATGCGTAGAGAGGATATATATGTATCAGTAATAACTTGCCTCAGTGATGCAAGAGATCGGCGTCTTTGACAATCAACTTTATTAAAAGATCAGTCTCCACGCTAAACAAGATTACAACGAATACATTTGGGTGTCACCTACAGGTTAGATACATGTCAAATAATTCCAAGGTGACTATGTGTAACCAGTGACATTTCAACTCCCCAGCTTGGATAAACCCGTCATTCTCCCAGAAATTACAAGAATTGACAAACTTCTGTTGTCGTGAGTCCAACCTGGAAGAGTAATATTTCTCAGGCCCACGTGCAACTTTAAAGGATTCGTGCAGTTGGATTCATGCACATTGGCCCACGGGCATCTAATAATCAACGGAAGTTCTTTTGTTTATTGCTTCGCATAAACATGTTATTTCACTCACTCGTGTACACGAATTAATGTTCACACGTACCTTCCACGCAATGCCAAAAACAAATACCCACAATTACTAACATTACTTCCAACCCATTACATTTAGAGCAACGAATGAATAATAGAATTCTGATTTTGTTTTAGATTAGAATAGAAAATGTGTAGTCATGCATAATGTTAAATTTTACCTCCAGATTCTTGAATGTACGTTGGGACGTTTAGATGCAGGGATTTTTGTGAAAGTTCCAATTGATTTTTGTAGTATCGGCATGCAGGGTTGGGGCAGTTTTGAACTACCTCAACTATAAATTCTTTTTCCATTCCAAAATATTCTCTTCCTATTGTGTAGGATTCCATTACCTGAGAAATTGAACATTATTAAATATTTGTATAATATAGATTGCAAATACAAACCAATTCTATAAAATCGTATTAGAAAATAAAGCATGTACAAATTTCTACAAATGAATAGCAGCTCACGTGGTATTAAATTATTAATAAAAACATATTTCGCATACTTCAGATTTTACTCACATTGACACAATATGTTCACGTATACAAATAATATGGAATTTAGGGCATTTTATTGGTATGGGTAAGGTAATGCGGTTGGGGTGAGATAAAGATGCATAATGAAACACACGTTAATACTAATAACATCAATAAAATCAACATTATTTTTATTATTAATAGATAATTATTACACATAAATTACATAACCTGATACTATGTGGATAGACCGAAGGCATTTAAGACATTTAAATACATACGTCCTAAAGTATTCTTTTAGAATTCTGATATTCACCCCACATGGTCTCTCCATTGCATCAAGCCGCGGGATAGAGACCGCATGGTACGGCTAAGGAAAAAAATCTCTGAAGGGGGGGGGAACTTGCAATGAGAAGAGGAGTGCGTACTAATCTACGAAACTATTTCTGAACTATTTATTTACTGGCTTGGACGTCACGTATTGGGACGGACTTCAGGAGGCCAAAGAGAATTCCTCAGAGTCTTTGGCCTCCACAGCTCTCCACAGCTCCTGAAGTGAAACAGGCACGTAGATCGGCCGCACCCTCGCCTCTGCGCTTCTCCCACTCCCATTTGCCCCTAACGTGTTCATTATTCTATAGTTTACTCATTTGTTTATTTCTTTACCTGTTTATTTAGTTGTTACTTAATAACTTCTTTATTTCTATACTTACTGACACTGAAGTGACAAAACTCATGTGAAAGCAAATGCAAATCTACAATGGCAGTAGTATCGCGACCAATAGCTATAAAAGGGCTGTGCATTGGCAGAGCTTTTTCATTTGTACTAAAGTCATTCATGTGAAAAGATTTCTGGCGTGATTGTGACTGTGATTATGATTACGGGAATTAACAGATTTTGAATGCAGGATGGCAGTTGGAGCTAGATGAATATAACATTCCATTTTGGAAATCGTTAAGGAATTTAATATTCCGAGATTCACAGTGTTGACACTGAAATTAGGTATTCCCTGCATAGTCTTGAGAGAGTGCAGGGAATACCTCATTTCAGGCGTAATCTCTCACCATGGACAATGCAGAGGGAGACGATCTTCACTTCATGACCGAGAGCAGCGGCGATTGCGTAGAGTTGTCAGGGCTTATAGATAAGCAACACTGCGTGAAATAGCCGTGGTAATCAATGGGAGACGTACAACGAATGTATCATTAAGTTAGTGCAAAGAAATGTGGCTTAATTAAAGCCACATTTCTCTGCACTAAATTAATGATACATTTGTTGTACGTCTCCCATTGACTACTATGGCTGACAGCTATGGCAGCAGAAGATCGATTTGAGTGTCTTTGCTAACAGCACATCATCTGCAACACCTCTCCTGGGTTCGTGACTGTATCGTTGAACTCCAGATGACTGGAAAACTGTGGATTGGTCAGATTAGTTCCGTATTCAGTTGGCGGGAGCTAATGGTAGTCTCCGAATGTGGTGCCAATCCCACGAAGCCATGAACCCAAGTTGTCAACAAGACGCTGTGCAAGCTGTGGTGGCCCCATAATGGCGTGGGCTCTTTTTACATGGAATGGACTGGGTCCTCCGGTCCAACTGAACCGATCACTGACTGTAAATGGTTATGTTCAGCTACTTGGAGACCATTTTCAGCCCTTCACAGGCTTCATGTTCCCAAATAACGATTGCGTTTTTATGGATGACAATGCACCATGTCACCGGGCCACAATTGAACATTCAGAAATTCGAACGAATGATTTGGTCACCCAGAGTGCCCGACATGAATACCATCGAACATTTACTGGTATTATCGCGAGGTCAGTTCGTGCACAAAATCCTGCACCTGCAAAACTTTCGCAATTACTGGACGGTTTTACAGGCAGCACGGCTCAAGTTTTCTGCAGAGGTCTTCCAACGTCTTCAGTCCGTAGCACGTCGAGTTGCTGAACTTCGCAGGCCCAAAAGAAGTCCGACAGGCAGGTATACCAAGACTTTTGTCAATCTCAGTGTAATTATTGATTGACTTATTATTTACTTAGTTACTTCCTCTCCTCTACTACGACAGAATAGTCAAGGACAACATACATCTTTCTGGCGCAATCTAGTTCAGATGGAGAAGTCTGCAGATAGTTCATTTTGGATCCACAAACTACTTGAGCCGTTGTAGATTTCCTGGAGGAGTCTGATAACTTTTTGTGATAGGTGCTCAGTGCTCAATGCTCTCCAGAGAACAGGCCAGTGAACGCAATCAAGCGCCTACTTGAAATCAATGAAGACAAAGACAATTTGTTTTCTACAGCGTATCCATTCTTCTATTAGATGCCGGAGTGAAAAGATCTGATCGCAAAAAGTCCGGTTTGGACGAAATCTTACCAGTTCTTCCCGGCTGGTCTGTTCACGATATTTCTGCAGCCTTGACTGGATTACTTTCATGAATACTTTGCCAATAGTGGAAAACAAGCTAATGACACAGTAGTTCTTACAAACGCCGCTTTTACCTTTCTTCTGGATCGGCACGATGGCACGTTTCTAGGTGTCTGGGATTCGTTCGGACTGCAGGATTGGTCCAGCAATGCACAAACTCGATGGTGCAGGACTTCAATTCCCACCTTGAGATCCTCAGTTGTGACTTTGTCCAATGCAGGTGCTTTTCCAGTCCTCAGCTATCTTATGGGTGTCTTCATTTCATCAGCAATTGGTTCAGAGTCGAACACTAGGTAGTGTGAGATATCAACGGGTGATGGCTCAGCTTTTCTCCCTTGTGGCGATTTGTTGTTGTACAGCTCTTTGAAGAATTATTTTCAACGCTGGAAATGTTCCTCAGTAGACTGCTCAAATATTTTCTAATGTCATGGGTCAATTTGGTCTTTCCGCTAATTCGTTTGAACGTGCGATATAGGCTGCGGTGTTCAGGTTTGGATGCAGCTTCGAGTTCTCCTGTTCCCTTATTCCAGTAAGCTTCCCGCACAGCTTTCAACTTTTGCCGGACTTCGCAGTTAAGTCGCCGATATCGATCGTGGTTGACCAATTTGACGCGATTCCTTTGTCCACTAGGCGCAGGCATTCATCCGATAGCTAAAGTTGTGTCCGATGGCGGATTGTAGGGCGCAACAGCTTTGCACATACCATGGTGGTATCCAAAATCTGTTATTCTTGTTCATCGAAATCTTCCATTTCAGTCAATGTAGCGAATCATTACAAATGTAGCGAATAATAACGATCTCCCGTGATGCATTTCATGACACAAATGCCCTGCGAGTGCAAAGAATGTTTTATGGCATTGATGGTTTCGGATCGTATCCAGAAACGTAGAATAGAGCTCGCATTCAACCGGTTTTTAGAAAGCAAGAACACAAGGAATTGTTCGGAAAATGACCGTGGCAGTAATGTTTTACCAGCATTAAAGAGATTGTTTTGCAAAATTCTCAGTGGTGGATTGAGTGGATGGGCGAAAAAAGTAAAACATCAAAATTTCAGGCAGGTTTGAGGAGAGGCTTCTTCGCCACTGACAATATCTTTGTGTTAGATTCACTCATAAAACAGGCGCTTTCATGTAAAAGGGACACTTTATACTGCAGTTTTCTGTACTTCGAGAAGGTTCTTTTACTCGATCAATAGAGAAAATTTACGGAGAAAACCAAGTGAATAAGTAGTCTCACGTAAAGTTGTAAATGTGCTGTAAAGAAGTAACGTTTTGCGTCAAGTGTATTATTTTTTATAAACAATTTTGTGCCATAGGCGAAAGGATGCGGACACATCAGTGTAAGAAATTGATGGTATTAAAATTTACTGATTATTATTCTCGATTTCTTCGAATCGAATAGTGCCTTCGTAATAAAACAACCATTTCTCGCTTCAACAGTTCTCAAGCTTCTAAATTTCCTTAAAGACAATTTTACTTCACGCCTCGCTAAACCACCAGTTAAACCACCAGCACCCCTCTCCGCCACCTACGCATGGACTTCCCCGAGCGGAAGCGCCGCCTTTCTGAAATATTGTTTGCTCCCCTGATAACGGCCCATCTCAGCCCAACTCCCGTGATAAAAAATATACTTCAAATTCCTGTCGCTTTTCCTCCTTCCATTCAAACCGTTGCCTTCCTATTGCAGAGTCCGTTGCTCCCACCACCTCCACTCCCGAGTGCAGTTTAGTAGCATTTATTGTAATCGATTACAAAAGTCGATTACACAGCCATTATTCTCTCAGAGAGACTACGCCATAATTTAATGCACTATCTCCGTTATCATAATAAACGTAAGTTAACCTTCCGCATTCTGACCATGGTTGCCATTTAAAATTTCAATTTCACAAAAGTCCAGCAATTCCTGACCATCATTATTGAAGACCGAATCTTTGAGTTTGTCTTGGATTCGCTCTCGGTCCTAGCCAATCGAAGTCCGAAACCTTTTTCTGCTCATTGCCAATTCGAGCATTCATGTCACCTAACACTAGTAAATCACGGATCATTAGTAAATTCGGACCCCTCTGCTTCAATGAGGTTACGAATTCATTGATTTCTCCGAAGGCTACGGGAGAGTAACAACACGAACCCTGTGGGTGACGATGTTGTCTTGCGAATTGTGACATTTTGAACGCTAATCGAGCTTGCAAGCGCAAAAAACAAAGACACGTGGAGTTGTGTAACCTGGTCCACAAGTAAACAAGGACATTCCCACTGAGCCCATGAAAAAGGTACTCATTTTAGGAGAAAGCCATGGGCGACAAATCTCCCCCAGCTCAGCGGGAAATTACCATCCAATTTCTCCGTCACGGGTGTGTTTAAACTTAACGGGAGGTTTGCCGACGTGGCCAGTGAGTTGGACATCTACACAGTATTGACACAGCATAAGAGGGCAGAATGACATCAATT